TACATACATTACATACATTACATACATTACATACATTACATACATTACATACATTACATACATTACATACATTACATACATACATACATTACATACATTACATGCATACATTACATACATTACATACATACATTACATACATTACATACATTACATACATTACATACATTACATACATTACATACATTACATACATTACATACATTACATACATTACATACATTACATACATTACATACATTACATACATTACATACATTACATACGTACGTACGTACGTACATACATACATACATTGTGTATGTTATATTATAGTAGGAGTTTACTTTTCTATTCTCCTGATGGGTGCTGGCAAATTGACTGATCCAAGGACGGGCGGCTTAAGCGCGTGGATTGGATACACCGACTTGGATCAAGACACACACTACAAGTGGAGTGACAACACGCAGGTGCCTGTGGAGTTGGCTCGGTGGACGTTGCATATGTCTAATTTTTGAAAAGTGAACAGCAGTGAACATAGCAAGCAGCGGACAGTAGATTTAACCAATACATATATATATATATACAATATAATATACCTGTATGTATATATATATATATATATACGTATTGTGAATGAGCTCATTTCCACATGTCCTTTCACTTGCAGGCTCCCATCGAAGCCAATTTCCAGCCAGGTCCAGTAACACCTGATATCCTGTAGGATTTGGGGCTCAGGGAGCCAACGGTGTCTGTGGTGGGTGGGTTTCAGCAACTCCTTGCAGCCATTCTGGTGTGCTACTTGTGGCTGTGGACAGCCATTGGATTGTGCGAGGGACGCACGTACGTTGGAGGACAAAACAAGCTGCGAGGTCGCAGATTCGGTTGGGAGAGACAGGGTTCTTTCAAATACATCCCCAGGTGGCGCTACCCAATTCATATTGGTAGCGGAGCCCCTGGCGGATTTGGCCAGGGGCATCCAGGTGAAAGCTACCTTTGGTGTTGGTAAAGATCACTGCGATCTAAGGGAGCTCACAGAGGTCAAGTCCAATGCCGTCTGGAAGCGATGGTGCAACAGGGACGGAACAGGCCAATACAGGCTTATCAAGCCAACTCGCCTTCCCAGTCCCCAGTTTTGATCCGAGCAAGGATGACATGCAGGTGTATCAACAGAAGGTTCAATTAGTGTTCTCAGTTTGGCCGGCATCCAAGATTTCTGAATTGATTACAAGGCTTATCTTGAATACGTCAGGGTCTGCATTTGCAAAACTGCAACTCCATCATGAAGAGCTTTGTGTGAATGAGGAAAAAGGGATCAAGCGGTTGATCGAACTGCTGGGTGGCCATTGGGGCCAAATTGGACTGGAACGGCGTTACGCCGACGCAGAGAAAGCCCTGTTTCAATGCAATCAACAAGGAGATGAATCACATGACAGTTACCTTGCCCGAGCTGACATTCTTTGGACAAAATTGCTCACTCAGAAACTGCTGCTTGAAGACCTACAGGCATACGTGACTCTCAGAGGGTCAATGCTGACGCAGGAGGAGAAAAAGCGAGTGATTCTGGACAGTGACAATTCCTTAGAAGGAAAACTCACCATGGCCAAGGTTCGAGAAGCCGTCAGAATGTTGGGAGCGTCGTTTTTCCAAGAGATGACTGGTAGTAGCCTCAAGAAAGTGAATAAAACAAAGGTATATGATCAGTCTGCTATGTGTTTGGAAGATACGGAACAACATCCAGAAAGTGAAGAACATGCTCATGTGACATATCATGATGAGTGGGCCGAAGATGAATTCATCGAAGGCCTCATGAATGAAGGTGACGAAGACGCCGTGTTCGTGGCCGACTTCGAGACCGCAGCGACTGAGATCATCCAGGCCGACGAGGACCTCGCATCGGCTTATTCCACAATAGAAGCCAGGAGAAAGCTGAGTGAGAAGTACAGGTCTAGAGGATTTTGGCCACTGACCAAGGGAAAAGGGAAGCATCAAAAGGGAAAAGGACAAGGGAAGTTCCAGTGGGGTCACAAAAAGACCCTTCAGCAGAGAATTCTGGAGAGCAACTGCCGCCTTTGCGGAAAAAAGGGCCATTGGAAAAGTGAGTGTCCCAGCCGTGGACAAGCATCACAAAGTGCCGCGTCAGCCCCAGTGACGCTTTCGATGGCAAGCACCAGTCAGTTGCAAGAAGATGTGATGTCGACCGAATTTCTCATGCTGCCGGAAGTCCCTTCGACCAACCAGGACACCACCACGAGCACCGAAATGTGTTTTGTACAGTCAGTTTTTTCAAATCAGGGTACAATAAGCCAGGTGCACAAAGTTTCAAGCCATAGCATGAGGGATGCCAGGGTGAGAATTAGGAACCATATTAAGGGTAATAAGGGATCTAATTCCATGGTTGCGTCACTTGTGAACAGGATTGAAGACCGAGTGTCCAAGCTCAATGCCCAGCGCCAGCTGAGTAGCCCTGAAGTGAATGTCCGCTGTCCAGCCAAGCCCTGTAAAGTAAATTTGGTTCCCACAGATCGACAGTGCAATGCCCTGGACTCAACTGAAGTCCACCAACCAAAGGTGGCAATGCCGAAGAGCCCAATGCCATCAATGCACCAATGTGAAGCAGAAGCCTTTTTCGCATCTCATGACACATGGGGGATACTGGATACCGGGGCCACCAAAACAGTCATGGGTAGCAATCATGTTTCAAGCTTCCTACAACATGTTCAACCAAGTGTCCGAAATCTCATCAAGCGTTGTTCATGTGAAGTGAAGTTGTATTTAGATTTGGAAACCAAGGAACATTGAAATCAGAGCATGCGATGGTAGGCCCCGTGTGTGGCCTGCAGTTAAAAATTGCAATTGTGCCAGGAGCCACACCTTTCCTCATTTCAAATACACTTTTGCGAGCACTGGGGGCATTGGTTGACACAGGAAATCACAAGTTGGTGTTGCCAAAGCATCACACTGAGGTACCGTTGAAACGGTCCGAGAAAGGATTGTATTTGATCGACATGAACTTGTTGTTGAAAGTGCAGCCTCCGTTCTCAGTTTTACAGCCAGTTGCAGAGACTTTTGCACAGGAAAGCCAGGAAAAGATCCAAAATGCAGTGAAGCCAGATCAATTGCACGTCAGTTTCAACGAGCCGAAAGAGCAAACACCGATCAATACAGAGTGCCACAGCCAGAATGTTCACATGCAAGTGCCATCAGATCAAGGTCCACAGGTACACAGGTCAAATAATTTCCAAGAAAAGGATGATAACGGTGACATAACAAATAACCTCAATCAACATGTAATGACAGCCGATGCCGAAAGCCAATCAACCTCCGATGATTGTATCAAAACGCCAATCACATGCCAGCGTCCGACAGAGGTTTTGTCCGACCAAAGCGGGCCTCTCGCTGATTCGAACCATCCGCAAAACTGCCAAAGCCATGAGCAACTGGGAGAGAAGGTTGCAGCTCCTCCAGAGCACCATGCCGCCTCAAGAACTGGAGTCACTGGATCACTTGACACTGGATGCTCTGAAGGCCGAGAAAGTTTCCTTCGGAAAGGCTCACAGTGGCAAAACGTACGAGGAAGTATGGAGTTCTGCCCCAGACTGGATCCGATGGTTTCTCCTCCACTACGAGCAGAGCCGGGGTCTCGAACATCGGAAGATGATCAGGTACATCAAACTGAAGATCGAAAGTTTGGAGAACGGAGAAGAAGGACCACAAATGCCTGTCCAACCAAGAGCCAAGCCAGCACCCAAGGCGCTCTGGGCCAAAGCCAAGAGCCAGCCGGCCCGTGGGTCGACACCGGAGCCGGACAGCCCATGGATTGTGGACGAGGCCACAAGCTCTCGAGTGGATCAAATCCAGGAGCGTATGGGAAACCTGGAAAATGCCCTGAATCAGATCCTGGTCTACCTGACCCCCAACATTCCGACGGGCAATGCCACCGAGGGCGAGATGCCAGTGATTCCGATGGTGGGCGAGTTCGACGACCCTTGGAACGATCCACTGGACCACTGAGCTCATCAGATGAAGATGGCCGCAACTGGGCTTTGCAGGCAGGTGAGATTGATCAATTTTGTGAAAGCTTGCCAAATCATGAAAGACGTCGGTTTTGGAGTCTTGTGGCCAGCATGGAAAAGGAACTTGAAGTTTGTAAAGCCAATACAACCGCCATGGGAAAAGCATATGATTTGTTTGAAGTTTTCTGCAGCCCCGAGAGCAAACTCACCGAACAAGTTCAAAGCCTGAAGGGCACAGCTCTTAGATTTGGCCTTGCCCAAGGTAATCTTCATACCACTGAGGGTCGCCGCAAGCTGTTCACTGCCTTGAGCCGTCACAGACCAAAACATGTTTGGATGAGCCCAGTTTGCAAACCATGGTCACAGTGGTCCAATCTGAACCAGTACAAATCTGAAGAACTGTGGGAGCGGATCCAAGCCGAACGGTTTGAAATGCTCATCCAGGTCGCTCTGTGTCTGGTTTTGTGCAGGCACCAGCATCGAGTCAAGCGACATGCACACTGGGAACAACCACGAGGGTCCCACATGATGTATCTACCATACTTGAACGAGTTGAATCAATACATGCTTCATGCCCGTCCTGACATGTGTGTAGCAGGAGACCTTCAAGACCCAGTCAACCTAAAGCACATGCGAAAGAGCATGCACATCATGTCCTCATCCCAAGAGATGTATGAAGCTTTGAACTTTCAGAGATGTCATGGTGAACATGAACATCAACCCATCGAGGGATCCACAAGTGTGCATGGCCAGCGAGTTTTGAGGTCGAAGTTTTCAGAGAATTACTCACGGAAATTTGCAAGACTGGTAGCCAAGAACATGATGAAAGCGAGTTTTCCTATTGAAAAACCAGTTGGAAGTCTCACAGATCCAGCACTCACAGCCTTTGACATGTGGTGCACAATCAGCCATGCAAATGCCGTCAGTGATCGTTCAGCCAAGAGGCAGAAAACCTTGGTTCCGAGAAAATGTAAGGCATCGGCCGAAGACAGGTCACTCAGCAGCCCTGCCAGCTCGACGTTGTCCAAGCGTCGCAGAGTCAAACAGACTGAACAAACGGAAACCTCACTGTTGGGAAAGAGCATGAACGATCCAAAACTGCAGACCATCGTAGATGCCGCAGAGACTCAGCTGCCGCGGGTAGGAAAGAAAAGTCTTTTGCACACGAAGGTATTGCAGCTCATCCAGGAACTGATGCCCGAGAAAATCATTCATGAAATCATAGCTTGTAAAGGAACCGAACGCACCATGGCACCACCAAGCACCATAAGTTCCCGAGAAGCTCCATGTCGTAGATCAATCATGAAACTCAGAAGCACCGGTAGCATCATTCTGGATGAATGGGAAAAATATGATGAGCTTGCCAAACGTCAGGTAATCCGAAAGTCAAAACCATGCCGAGTGAATATCACTGTCTTTGCGGCCAATCCAGTGTTGCCTTTGCACGCACCCAAAAGCTGTCCTGCAGAGGAGGCAAAGCCGACTCTTGGTTCCCGGATGGAACCAACTGCGCCAATCCCAGAGCTGCCGGTGACCGAAGGATGTGAAATAGAAGTGAACGGATCAGGCGAGAGGCCGATCCCAGAACCCGAAAAGACATCAAACATGCACCGTTCTGTTGCAACAGACCCTGAAAGGTCACCGCAAGACTCAACAATCCCAATGCAGTTGCCCGAGTCCCCTGTCATAGGAAACAGGTTCAATGCTTTGCCTCGCGAAGAGCAGGCAATGTTGAGGCGGGCACATCAAAATTTGTGCCATCCAAGTCCTGAGCAGCTAAGCGCTGTTTTGCGATCTCAAGGAGCCAGACCGGAGTTGACACAGGCAGTGTTTGACATGAAATGTTCGACATGTGCAGCTCACCAGAAACCTAAAGTTGCCAGACCCAGCACCTTCAAGTCAGAATTGGATTTCAATGATAAGATTTTCATTGATGGAATCACATGGACCAACAAAACAGGCAAGAGTTTTCACTTTTACCACATCATTGATCAAGCCACCAACTTTCACGTAGCTATGCCAGCTCCCTGCAGAGCCGCCGAACAAGCTGTACAGTGCGTTCTGGAAGGTTGGGTCCAATGGGCGGGCCCACCAAATACCATGGTAACAGATTCAGCCACCGAGTTCACAAGTGTGACATTCACCAATTTCCTTCAAAGACATGATGTGAAAGCCATAACAACGGCGCCACATGCTCACTGGCAAAATGGAAGGTGCGAAAGACATGGACATATCATACAAAGTATGCTCGACAAAATCGATCACGAGATACCAATACAAAGCTATCTTGAGTTGCAACAAGCTCTTGTCCAGAGCACCCATGCAAAGAACACACTGAGTATTCGTAAAGGATATTCCCCTGAAGTCTTGGTTTTCGGCAAAAGCTCAAGGATTCCGGGCTCACTGACCAGCTGTGAACACGAGCCTTCTATGGCGAGTGCAGACCGTGATGATGCCCAGGGAATCAGCTTTCGACGCAACTTGGAGCTCAGGGAAAAAGCAAGAGTAGCATTTCACCGGGCCGATAATGACATGGCATTGAGGCGAGCCATCCAGCGACGGTCACGACCAGACCGTGATGCATATCGTCCCGGGGAGTGGGTCATGATGTGGCAACCAGCCAGAACTAATGGGTATTGGTTTGGTCCCCTTAAAGTAATCAACCAAGAAGATAAGAACTCTGTATGGGCCACTCATGCCGGAAAAATCTATCGAAGAGCCCTGGAACATGTCCGTCCTGTGTGTTCCAATGAAGTGAATCAGATTCCAATGGAAAGTGAAGAATCATCAACCCCAGAACCATCATTCAATAATCCAATTGCCAGAAATGCACAGTTCCACTCCGACATTTCCCAGCAATCCCCGATAACACATAACATTAATAATCCAGACAATACCAATAATACCCCCAGTGAAAATCAAAGCCAGTCTCAAGATCAACCTGATCTAGAACCTGAAGCCAATTCTCCATCAGGAACATCCGAAACAAATGAAGCCGTAGATCCTGCAGTAGAGACTCCTGTTCCAGAGTCCTCGACCGATGATGATCTGGTCACAACGCATTTGCTGAGTTGTGAAGATGAACCATGGACCATCGATCCAACAGAGGTTCCATGCGCGTGGCGTTGTGAGCTTGAAGTTCCCGGATGGATGGAACGAGAGAATCTTGGAGAATGGTCCCCAGATGAAATTCTCATTGCAACCACCGAAAAGAAACAAAGAACTGAAGTCAAGCTGACTCTGTCAAATCCCATTGAACAGAAAGCGTTTGCGGAAGCCAAAGAGGCTGAGATTCAGAATTGGTTGAAGACAGGAACAGTCTCCAAGGTGCTCCGACCCAACCTTGACCCAGAGCAGATTTTGAAATGCCGCTGGATCCTGACTTGGAAACCCAGGGAAGATGACAAAGGTAAAATCATACCTGAAGGGGTCACCAAGTTGAAATCCCATAAACCAAAGGCAAGACTGGTTGTACTTGGGTATATGGATCCCCAAATTACTGAAGTTCCCCGCGATAGCCCAACACTTGGCAAACAGTCAAAGATGATCATTCTCCAATTAATTGCCTCAATGAGCTGGAGCTTGGGATCATTCGATATCAAGGCCGCTTTCTTACAAGGAAAACCCCAAAAAGACCGCATCATTGGTTTAGAACCGGTGATTGAACTTGCCAAGGCAATGAACTTGAAAAACAATGAAATTTGCCGCTTGGACAAATCAGCGTATGGACTCATCGACGCACCATTCCTCTGGTTTCAAACTTTGTGTGATGAGCTAAAGAATTTGGGGTTCACTTCATGTCCATTTGATCCGTGTGTTTTCATTCTCAGGAATCCAAAAGACCAAACCGTTGCAGGTGTACTTGGCATACACGTAGATGATGGAATTCATGGCGGTAATCAATATTTCCAACAGCAGATCTCCAAACTAGAATCAAAATATCCTTTCGGGTCCAAAAAGTCACGTCAATTCACCTTCACAGGAATCGACCTACAACAAAATACAGACAACAGTATCGAATTGTCACAGTCAAACTATGTGAAAAACATCAATCCAATTTCACTAAAACCAGAGCGCCGTGCCCAAGAAGATGCAGCCGTGACAGAAGAGGAAAGGCACCTGCTGAGAGGACTGATTGGGTCCTTACAGTATGCAGCGGTTCACACACGTCCCGATTTATCAAGTGCACTTAGCCAATTGCAATCCCAAATCAACAGTGCTACCATAACTACCCTAATAATGGCCAATAAAACACTCCATACCGCAAAGAAACACCATGATGTAACAATCAAGATAAAACCAATTGCACCAGAAGATCTCAGATTCATCGCTTTTTCCGATGCTTCCTTTGCATCTAAAGCCAAGCCTGAATCATATGCAGGAATGATCGTATTAGCCACTCACAAAGACATATCCCAAAATAAATCATGTGTAATCAGTCCATTATCCTGGGGAACCAAGAAAATTCAGCGAGTGGTGACAAGTACTTTATCCGCAGAAACATCAGCCTTGTCCACCACGCTTGACCAACTGACTTGGATGCGAGTGTACTGGGCCTGGTTACTCAATCCAGCCATTCCCTGGCAAAAGCCTGAAACCATCCATACACTTCCCAAAGCAGTGACAGTCCCCACGATAAAGATTGATGAGAATGATTTGGCCATCACAGATTGCAAAAGTCTCTATGACCTGACAACCAGAACTGCAGTTCCGAATTGTCAAGAATTTAGGACACAGCTGTTAGCACGGTCAATAAAAGATGTGTTGTCAGAAGGCATTAAGTTGCACTGGGTACACAGCGGTGCACAGTTGGCAGATGCTCTTACAAAAATAATGGAATCCCATTTTCTTCGAGAAACCTTGCGTCAAGGCAGATATTGTTTGCATGACATCCATGAGGTCTTGAAAAATAGAGCGTCAGCCAGGAACCGCTTAAAATGGCTCAAAGCCACCAATGACGAAATGAGCTCAGAGCCCTTAAAATTTTGAATTGTTGGGTATGTGAATGAGCTCATTTCCACATGTCCTTTCACTTGCAGGCTCCCATCGAAGCCAATTTCCAGCCAGGTCCAGTAACACCTGATATCCTGTAGGATTTGGGGCTCAGGGAGCCAATGGTGTCTGTGGTGGGTGGGTTTCAGCAACTCCTTGCAGCCATTCCGGTGTGCTACTTGTGGCTGTGGACAGCCATTGGATTGTGCGAGGGACGCGCGTACGTTGGAGGACAAAACAAGCTGCGAGGTCGCAGATTCGGTTGGGAGAGACAAGGTTCTTTCAAATACATCCCCAGGTGGCGCTACCCAATTCATAACGTATATATATATATATATATATATATAGGAGGGTTACCCACCAAACATTGGGATATCATTGATAAACAATGATTCTTTTTTTTCCCCACCCAGGTGAAGGTCCCTACCAGATGTCAGTGGGCACTGCCGGACCTCAACGGCATTTTGATGTCAGAATGTATTGAAATGCCATGGAGGGGATCTGCACCACTTTGGCTTAGATCTGTCAGGATGACTTTTCGAACTTTGCCAAGAATTGTACTGGTCGCCACTTGTCCAAGATCTTCGCCTCAGAGTCAATAACCATATCCTGTTGGCTCCAATTGACTTGTAAAAGGTCCAGATTTTTTGAAGCGAAGAAAAGGCTGCCGTGTGATTCAAAAGAAGAGGCATGGAAGGATTGGACGATTCCAGGCCGCGAATGGTTGGGCAGTTTTTCGATGGTGTCGATGGTGGTTGGATTAGATGTCCAAATCGGCTTGTCCAATCTTGTCAGCTAATCAATCCATTGGAGTGAGATGCCATTTTTTAGCCAAGCAAATTGTATGATTCACCAATAAGAATGGGGAGAAAACCAAGGAATAGCAGGAAAAGAAGCAAGGAATCCACTGGCGGCTCTCTAAGGCGAAGACGAACCCGACTGCAAACCTGAAGAGCGGCAACAGCAATGGTATGACTGGGAAGGCCATGACCGTGGCACCTTTATTTGCAAACGGAAACCCAGCTGAAAGAGGTCTGTACTCAGAGGACCATCTCCAGTTATTTTTTGGGAACTGCTTAGTAGTTGTGATTGAATGATCCAGGCATAAGATATAATTCCACCAAGCGAACCCGTGGCATTCCATTGTAAACGAGTTCAAGTTGGTGTGAGTTGGTTCTGAGATTTTTTTCGTGTTTTCCTGTCATTCAAGGAATGCCTTGTTGCCAGTTGCGCTGCTTCGGAATACATCAGCCAGGACCCCTTGTCTGAACGGTGGCGTGTTTGGTGTTTGGCTTCTGAACTATGGTTTGTGCATGACGTGCATGTTTGTACACATTTGCCCTTGTGAACGCAGAAGGAAACGCTAGAAATTGGATGAAATTGGTGCCCCTGAAAACTTTTGATGAGGTGACAGGTTTTTCTCGAGTTTTCCCGGAGAATGTGCCCAGCAGTAATCCAACCCAGCCATGACCGTTACAGTATGCCCCGGTTGCCGTCAGGAGTTTGATCACCAAGCAATGGAGCGCGTTGTTGCCAGTCTTGGTGTCAAGTATGGAAAGCAACGTCACCAAGAAGAATGCCATGCTCAAGGTGTGCGAGTTTCTTTGGGTTCACCGGTTGACCATGAAATCCATGGGGGTTAAACCGTCTAAACCGGTGGTTTAACCATCCTGAAATGGGGAGTTATCGCCATTAGAATATCCTATACCAGTAAGCCACCATCTTTTGGGATCCAATTCATGCATAGATCATCATAGATCCAAGACATCACATCAGGGTTTTGTTTGGATGGGATTACAAAGCCAATGCTGTTCTGTTGCTCTGGATGCTTTTGCATTCCACATTTTCCACGTTGCAGCTGCTGGAGAGGGTCAGGCATGGAAGTTTGACCAAGATTTGACAACATTTGGGGGTTTCCTAGAATGGGGGTACGCCAAATTATCCAAGATTAGACAATTTTAGCATTGAAACCTTATGGTTTTGGGGAATCTCCATTTTAAGAAAGCACTATTTTTTGTTGAAAGTTATTTGCGAGTGATGCGTAGGTGGATGAGATTGCAAAGCCTGTGACATCATCGAAGGAGGTGCGAGATTGGCTTCTTGTGTTTCTGGCTTTTGTAAGACATAAACTTAACTTCAAAACTGGCTATGGAACATCAAAATAGCTTGGTACATCATGGATGTTCATCCCCGAAATATGGTATTATTATGTATTATTATTTGGCATTATATCCATATAGTAAGCCCAAAGAAGACAGAACAATTTACCACTATTCTAGTCCGGGTCGATCCAGCCATATCCAGCCCATGATAGGTAGATCATCGCCACATCGCCACTTTTGAGTCCGTTTGAGTGTCTAATCACGAAAGCCAGCCGCTAGGCTAGGCGAAGTTCTATATGCGAACAAAGTGAGTTAAGGGGGTCTGGGGGCAGAGTGAGGAAATTAGGTGGTAAAAAAGGTGGCCACAGGTAAACTTTTTTAGGGTTATGTACCAGGTGGCAATTGGGTGACGTTGGGGTATCGATTCCCCCCTGGTCCGCCCTCCGAGGTGGATCTGGGCAGATTGCAATGGAGGGGAAAATGATGAGAAAAACAATAGAAAAAATGAGGGAATATGACATAAAACAATGGGAAAAAAAGGACAGGAGGGGAAAATGATGAGAAATGATGAGAAAAACAATGGAAAAAAGGAGGGACTTTGACATAAAACAATGGAAAAAATGGGAAAGCAATGGAAAATTTGAGTAGAACGCTTGGAAAATTGATTAAAACGCGAGGAGAAACGGTGGAAAGAATAGGGAGAGGGTAAAATGGCTCCGATGTGGGACCATTATCGCGTAAAGCACGCGTGAAACAATGGAAAAGCAATGGAAAAATTGCAGTTTCGATGTGTGACCACTATGGAGTAGAAGCACAGAAAAAAAAACCATGGAGGAAACGAGCAAAACCGTTTATACGGTGCAACTGTAGGGATTGTGGAAGGTGCATTTGGGCAAGCGTTAGACACACTGGAGAAATCGAGTAACACCATGGCAAAACACTGGAAAAATTGATGAAATGGAAGGATAAATTGATCGCACAAAAACGCGAGGAAGAACGGTGGAAAGAATAGGGAGAGGGTAAAATGATGCCAAGTAAAATTGAGGCTCCGATGTGGGACCATTATCGCGTAAAGCACGCGTGAAACAATGGAAAAGCAATGGAAAAATTGCAGTTTTGATGTGCCAAGTAAAATTGAGGCTCCGATGTGGGACCATTATCGCGTAAAGCACGCGTGAAACAATGGAAAAGCAATGGAAAAATTGCAGTTTCGATGTGTGACCACTATGGAGTAGAAGCACAGAAAAAAAACCATGGAAGAAACGAGCAAAACCGTTTATACGGTGCAACTGTAGTGATTGTGGAAGGTGCATTTGGGCAAGCGTTAGACACACTGGAGAAATCGAGTAACACCATGGCAAAACACTGGAAAAATTGATGAAATGGAAGGATAAATTGATCGCACAAAAACGCGAGGAAAAACGGTGGAAAGAATAGGGAGAGGGTAAAATGATGCCAAGTAAAATTGAGGCTCCGATGTGGGACCAGGAAAAAATGAGGGAATATGACGTAAAACAATGGGGAAAAAATGGGAAAGCAATGGAACATTTGAGTAGAACGCTTGGAAAATTGATTAAAACGCGAGGAGAAACGGTGGAAAGAATAGGGAGAGGGTAAAATGATGCCAAGTAAAATTGAGGCTCCGATGTGGGACCATTATCGCGTAAAGCACGCGTGAAACAATGGAAAAGCAATGGAAAAATTGCAGTTTTGATGTATGACCACTATGGAGTAGAAGCACGGAAAGAAAACCATGGAAGAAACGAGCAACACCGTTTATACGGTGCAACTGTAGGGATTGTGGAAGGTGCACTTGGGTAAGCGTTAGACACACTGGGGTAACATAAGGGTAATGATGGAGAAATCGAGTAACACCATGGCAAAACACTGGAAAATTGAAATGGAAGAATAGATTGATAGCATATAAAACAATGGGAAAAGAATGGAAAATTTGAGTAGAACGCTTGGAAAATGATTCCAAGTAAAATAAAAGTAAAAGGATGGAAATTGATGGGGTGGAAAAACAATGGAAAAATTGAGGCTCCGATGTGGGACCATTATCGCGTAAAGCACGCGTGAAACAATGGAAAAGCAATGGAAAAAATGCGGTTTCGATGTGTGACCACTATGGAGTAGAAGCACGGAAATAAAACCATGGAAGAAACGAGCAAAACCGTTTATACGGTGCAACGGTAGGGATTGTGGGAGGTGCATTTGTGTAAGCGTTAGACACACTGAGATAATAGAAGGGTAATGATGGAGAAATCGAGTAACACCATGGCAAAACACTGGAAACATTGATGAAATGGAAGGATAAATTGATAGCGTAAACTATGGGACGATTGAGTAAAACTGGAGGAAAAACTGTGAAAAAAACACTGGGGAGACTGGAATGGAGGGGAAAATGATGTCGAGTAAAACTATGGAAAAGCAATGGACAAAATGAAAAAAATGTGGCTTCGATGTGAGACCATTAGCGATGGAAAAGCAATGGAAAAATCGAGGGACTATGATGAAGAAGTGGAGAAAAACAATGGAAAACATATTGGGAAAAATGCGGCTCTGATGTGGGACCAAAATGATGCCAAGTAAAATAAGAGTAAAATGACAGAAATTGATGGGATGGAAACACAATGGAAAAATTGAGGCTCCGATGTGGGACCATTATATGTGCAAGAAGAGTTTCTGGGTGAAGAGTCTCTAGGTGAAAAGTTTATATGGGTGAAAAGTTTGTGCAAGAAGAGTTTCTGGGTGAAGAGTCTCTGAGTGAAAAGTCTGTGCAAGAAGAGTTTCTGGGTGAAGAGTTCTGGGTAAAAAGTATATGGGCGAAAAGTATGTGCAAGAAGAGTTTCTGGGTGAAGAGTCTCTGGGTGAAAAGTATATGGGTGAAAAGTATGTGCAAGAAGGGTTTCTGGGTGCAGAGTCTCTGGGTGAAAAGTATATGGGTGAAAAGTATGTGCAAGAAGAGTTTCTGGGTGAAGAGTCTCTGGGTGAAAAGTATTCTCTGGGTAAAAAGTATATGGGTGAAAAGTATGTGCAAGAAGAGTTTCTGGGTGAAGAGTCTCTGGGTGAAAAGATGTGAACAGTATATTGGTGAAAAGTATGTGCAAGAAGAGTTTCTGGGTGAAGAGTCTCTGGGTGAAAAGTATATGGGTGAAAAGTAGGTGCAAGAAGAGTCTTTGGGTGAAAGTATATGGGTGAAAAATATGTGCAAGAAGAGTTTCTAGGTGAAGAGTCTCTGGGTGAAAAGTATATTGGTGAAAAGTATGTGCAAGAAGAGTTTCTGGGTGAAGAGTCTCTGGGTGAAAAGTATATGGGTGAAAAGTATGTGCAAGAAGAGTCTCTGGGTGAAAAGTATGTGCAAGAAGAGTTTCTGGATGAAGAGTCTCTGGGTGAAAAGTATATGGGTGAAAAGTATGTGCAAGAAAAGTTTCTGGGTGAAGAGTCTCTGGGTGAAAAGTATATGGGCGAAAAGTATGTGCAAGAAGAGTTTCTGGGTGAAGAGTCTCTGGGTAAAAAGTATATGGGCGAAAAGTATGTGCAAGAAGAGTTTCTGGGTGAAGAGTCTCTGGGTGAAAAGTATCTGGGTGAAAAGTATGTGCAAGAAGAGTTTCTGGGTGAAGAGTCTCTGGGTGAAAAGTATATGGGTGAAAAGTATGTGCAAGAAGAGTTTCTGGGTGAAGAGTCTCTGGGTGAAAAGTATGTGCAAGAAGAGTTTCTGGGTGAAGAGTCTCTGGGTGAAAAGTATGTGCAAGAAGAGTTTCTGGGGGTGAAAAGTATATGGGTGAAAAGTATGTGCAAGAAGAGTTTCTGGGTGAAAAGTATATGGGTGAAAAGTTTGTGCAAGAAGAGTTTCTGGGTGAAGAGTCTCTGGGTGAAGAGTATATGGGTGAAATGTTTGTGCAAGAAGAGTTTCTGGGTGAAGAGTCTATGGGTGAAAATATGTGGGTGAAAAGTATTTGCAAGAAGAGTTTCTGGGTGAAGAGTCTCTGGGTGAAAAGTATATGGGTGAAAAGTATGTGCAAGAAGAGTTTCTGGGTGAAGAGTCTCTGGGTGAAAAGTCTCTGGGTGAAAAGTATATGGGTGAAAAGTATGTGCAAGAAGAGTTTCTGGGTGAAGAGTTCTGGGTAAAAAGTATATGGGCGAAAAGTATGTGCAAGAAGAGTTTCTGGGTGAAGAGTCTCTGGGTGAAAAGTATATGGGTGAAAAGTATGTGCAAGAAGGGTTTCTGGGTGCAGAGTCTCTGGGTGAAAAGTATATGGGTGAAAAGTATGTGCAAGAAGAGTTTCTGGGTGAAGAGTCTCTGGGTGAAAAGTATATGGGTAAAAAGTATATGGGTGAAAAGTATGTGCAAGAAGAGTTTCTGGGTGAAGAGTCTGTGCAAGAAGAGTTTCTGGGTGAAGAATCTCTGGGTGAAAAGTATATGGGTGAAATGTATGTGCAAGAAGAGTTTCTAGGTGAAGAGTCTCTGGGTGAAAAGTATATGGGTGAAAAGTATGTGCAAGAAGAGTTTCTGGGTGAAGAGTCTCTGGGTGAAAAGTATATGGGTGAAAAACATGTGCACGAAGAGTTTCTGTGTGAAGAGTCTCTGTGTGAAAAGTATATGGGTGAAAAGTATGTGCAAGAAGAGTTTCTGGGTGAAGAGTCTCTGGGTGAAAAGTATATGGGTGAAAAGTATGTGCAAGAAGAGTTTCTGGGTGAAGAGTCTCTGGGTGAAAAGTATATGGGTGAAAAGTATGTGCAAGAAGAGTTCCTGGGTGAAGAGTCTCTGGGTGAAAAGTATATGGGTGAAAAGTATGTGCAAGAAGAGTTTCTGGGTGAAGAGTCTCTGGGTGAAAAGTATATGGGTGAAAAGTATGTGCAAGAAGAGTCTCTGGGTGAAAAGTATATGGGTAAAAAGTATATGGGTGAAAAGTAAAATTGAGGCTCCGATGTGGGACCATTATATGTGCAAGAAGAGTTTCTGGGTGAAGAGTCTCTAGGTGAAAAGTATATGGGTGAAAAGTTTGTGCCAGAAGAGTTTCTGGGTGAAGAGTATCTGGGTGAAAAGTCTGTGCAAGAAGAGTTTCTGGGTGAAGAGTCTCTGGGTGAAAAGATGTGAACAGTATATTATTGGTGAAAAGTATGTGCAAGAAGAGTTTCTGGGTGAAGAGTCTCTGGGTGAAAAGTATATGGGTGAAAAGTAGGTGCAAGAAAAGTCTCTGGGTGAAAGTATATGGGTGAAAAATATGTGCAAGAAAAGTTTCTAGGTGAAGAGTCTCTGGGTGAAAAGTATATTGGTGAAAAGTATGTGCAAGAAGAGTTTCTGGGTGAAGAGTCTCTGGGTGAAAAGTATATGGGTGAAACGTATGTGCAAGAAGAGTCTCTGGGTGAAAAGTATATGGGTGAAAGGTATGTGCAAGAAGGGTTTCTGGGTGAAGAGTCTCTGGGTGAAAAGTATATGGGTGAAAAGTATGTGCAAGAAGAGTTTCTGGGTGAAGAGTTCTGGTGAAAAGTATATGGGTGAAATGTATGTGCAAGAAAGTTTCTAGGTGAAGAGGCTCTGGGTGAAAAGTATATGGGTGAAAAGTATGTGCAAGAAGAGTTTCTAGGTGAAGAGTCTCTGGGTGAAAAGTATATGGGTGAAATGTATGTGCAAGAAGAGTTTGTGGGTGAAAAGTATCTGGGTGAAATGTATGTGCAAGAAAGGTTTCTAGGTGAAGAGTCTCTGGGTGAAAAGTATATTGGTGAAAAGTATGTGCAAGAAGAGTTTCTGGGTGAAGAGTCTCTGGGTGAAAAGTATATGGGTGAAAAGTATGTGCAAGAAGAGTCTCTGGGTGAGTATATGGGTGAAACGTATGTGCAAGAAGAGTTTCTGGGTGAAGAGTCTCTGGGTGAAAAGATGTGAACAGTATATTGGTGAAAAGTATGTGCAAGAAGAGTTTCTGGGTGAAGAGTCTCTGGGTGAAAAGTATATGGGTGAAAAGTATGTGCAAGAAGAGTCTCTGGGTGAAAAGTATATGGGTGAAAAGTATGTGCAAGAAGAGTTTCTAGGTGAAGAGTCTCTTGGTGAAAAGCATATGGGTAAAAAGTATATGGGTGAAAAGTATGTGCACGAAGAGTTTCTGGGTGAAGAGTCTCTGGGTAAAAGTCTGTGCAAGAAGAATTTCTGGGTGAAGAATCTCTGGGTGAAAAGTATATGGGTGACATGTATGTGCAAGAAGAGTTTCTGGGTGAAGAGTCTCTGGGTGAAAAGTATCTGGGTGAAAAGTATGTGCAAGAAGAATTTCTGGGTGAAGTCTCTTGGTAAAAAGTATATATGGGTGAAAAGTATGTGCAAGAAGAGTTTCTGGGTGAAGAGTCTCTGGGTGAAAAGTCTGTGCAAGAAGAGTTTCTGGGTGAAGAATCTCTGGGTGAAAAGTATATGGGTGAAATGTATGTGCAAGAAGAGTTTCTAGGTGAAGAGCCTCTGGGTGAAAAGTATATGGGTGAAAAGTATGTGCAAGAAGAGTTTCTGGGTGAAAGTATATGGGTAAAAAATATGTGCAAGAAAAGTTTCTAGGTGAAGAGTCTCTGGGTGAAAAGTATATTGGTGAAAAGTATGTGCAAGAAGAGTTTCTGGGTGGAGAGTCTCTGGGTGAAAAGTCTGTGCAAGAAGAGTTTCTGGGTGAAAAGTATATGGGTGAAAAGTATGTGCAAGAAGAGTTTCTAGGTGAGGAGTCTCTGGGTGAAAAGTATATGGGTAAAAAGTATATGGGTGAAGAGTAAAATTGAGGCTCCGATGTGGGACCATTATATGTGCAAGAAAAGTTTCTGGGTGAAGAGTCTCTAGGTGAAAAGTATATGGGGGAAAAGTTTGTGCAAGAAGAGTTTCTGGGTGAAGAGTCTCTGGGTGAAAAGTCTGTGCAAGAAGAGTTTCTGGGTGAAGAGTCTCTGGGTGAAAAGATTTGAACAGTATATTGGTGAAAAGTATGTGCAAGAAGAGTTTCTGGGTGAAGAGTCTCTGGGTGAAAAGTATATGGGTGAAAAGTAGGTGCAAGAAGAGTCTCTGGGTGAAAGTATATGGGTGAAAAATATGTGCAAGAAAAGAGTTTAGGTGAAGAGTCTCTGGGTGAAACGTATATTGGTGAAAAGTATGTGCAAGAAGAGTTTCTGGGTGAAGAGTCTCTGGGTGAAAAGTATATGGGTGAAACGTATGTGCAAGAAGACTCTGGGTGAAAAGTATATGGGTGAAAAGTATGTGCAAGAAGGGTTTCTGGGTGAAGAGTCTCTGGGTGAAAAGTATATGGGTGAAAAGTATGTGCAAGAAGAGTTTCTGGGTACAGAGTCTCTGGGTGAAAAGTATATGGGTGAAAAGTATGTGCAAGAAGAGTTTCTGGGTGAAGAGTTCTGGGTAAAAAGTATATGGGCGAAAAGTATGTGCAAGAAGAGTCTCTGGGTGAAAAGTCTGTGCAAGGAGAGTTTCTGTGTGAAGAATCTCTGGGTGAAAAGTATATTGGTGAAAAGTATGTGCAAAAAGAGTTTCTGGGTGAAGAGTTCTGGGTAAAAAGTATATGGGCGAAAAGTATGTGCAAGAAGAGTCTCTGGGTGAAAAGTCTGTGCAAGGAGAGTTTCTAGGTGAAGAGTCTCTGGGTGAAGAGTATATGGGTGAAAAGTATGTGCAAGAAGAGTTTCTGGGTGAAAGTATATGGGTGAAAAGTATATGGGTGAAATGTATGTATGTGCAAGAAGAGTTTCTGGGTGAAGAGTCTCTGGGTGAAAAGTATATGGGTGAAAAGTATGTGCAAGAAGAGTTTCTGGGTGAAGAGTCTCTGGGTGAAAAGTATATGGGTGAAAAGTATGTGCAAGAAGAGTTTCTGGGTGAAGAATCTCTGGGTGAAAAGTATATGGGTGAAAGTATGTGCAAGAAGAGTTTCTGGGTGAAGAGTCTCTGGGTGAAAAGTATATGGGTGAAAAGTATGTGCAAGAAGAGTTTCTGGGTGAAGAGTCTCTGGGTGAAAAGTATATGGATGAAAAGTATGTGCAAGAAGAGTTTCTGGGTGAAAAGTATATGGGTGAAAAGTATGTGCGAGAAGAGTTTCTGGGTGAAGAGTCTCTGGGTAAAAAGTATATGGGTGAAAAGTATGTGCAAGAAGAGTTTCTGGGTGAAGAGTCTCTGGGTGAAAAGTCTGTGCAAGAAGAGTTTCTGGGTGAAGAATCTCTGGGTGAAAAGTATATGGGTGAAATGTATGTGCAAGAAGAGTTTCTAGTTGAAGAGTCTCTGGGTGAAAAGTATATGGGTGAAAAATATGTGCAAGAAGAGTTTCTGGGTGACAGTATATGGGTGAAAAATATGTGCAAGAAAAGTTTCTAGGTGAAGAGTCTCTGGGTGAAAAGTATATTGGTGAAAAGTAACTGCAAGAAGAGTTTCTGGGTGAAGAGTCTCTGGGTGAAAAGTATATGGGTGAAAAGTATGTGCAAGAAGAGTCTCTGGGTGAAAAGTATATGGGTGAAAAGTATGCGCAAGAAGAGTTTCTAGGTGAAGAGTCTCTGGGTGAAAAGTATATGGGTAAAAAGTTTATGGGTGAAGAGTATGTGCACGAAGAGTTTCTGGGTGAAGAGTCTCTGGGTGAAAAGTCTGTGCAAGGAGAGTTTCTGGGTGAAGAATCTCTGGGTGAAAAGTATATGGGTGAAAAGTATGTGCAAGAAGAGTTTCTGGGTGAAGAGTCTCTGGGTGAAAAGTATATGGGAGAAAAGTATGTGCAAGAAGAGTTTCTTGGTGAAGAGTCTCTGGGTGAAAAGTATATGGGTGAAAGGTATGTGCAAGAAGAGTTTCTTGGTGAAGAGTCTCTGGGTGAAAAGTATGTGGGTGAAAAGTATGTGCAAGAAGAGTTTCTGGGTGAAGAGTCTCTGGGTGAAAAGTATCTGGGTGAAAAGTATGTGCAAGAAGAGTTTCTGGGTGAAGTCTCTTGGTAAGAAGTATATATGGGTGAAAAGTATGTGCAAGAAGAGTTTCTGGGTGAAGAGTCTCTGGGTGAAAAGTCTGTGCAAGAAGAGTCTCTGGGTGAAAAGTATATGGGTGAAATGTATGTGCAAGAAAAAAAGTGGGTGAAGAGTGTCTTTGTGAAAAGTATATGGGTGAAAAGTCTGTGCAAGAAGAGTTTCTGGGTGAAAAATCTCTGGGTGAAAAGTATATGGGTGAAATGTATTGAAGAGTCTCTGGGTGAAAAGTTTGGTGGAAAATAGGGGTAGATGGGATGCTGGCTTTCGTTCCCCCCTTCTCAGGTTCTTTTATTTTACCTCATATGAATTCATATGATATGATTCAGAATCATATATTTACGCCATAGATCTCGCTCATCCTTCAGATGATCAACTGGAAATTCCCTGAGGGCGCTGCGGCATCTGCGATGCCGGAGCCGCGCTTGGGATTCTTCAAGGCCTGGATGTCCTTGGGAGATCCCAAGTTCTAAGGCCTGGATGTCCTTGCGAAAATGATGGGATAAAAATTATGGGGTCCCCGATTTTCAGTCAACATCTCAGACACAGATCCTCTGTGCAACTGGATGTTTTGATGACTATCCTTCTAATCACAGCATAAGATTTGACAGCACAGCTACGCAGTTCCAGGGCTCCTTGTTCTGAGAGGGCGAGTTCTTGCTGCTCTGGTCCTGCACTTCCGACCAAACCAGCAGGGAAGGGCTTTGTGAAGATCTTAGTTGTAGGAAAAGCTGCCTTCTCTGGATCAAAGATTTATATTTTTTCGTACACCGAAATTACTACTGACTCGTCAAGTTAAGGAATCTTGACAACAAGAATGGTCGCTGGTTCTGTGGGTCCAGGCAGAAAGCGATGCTTGTACATACGGTAGTGGTGAGTGTCAAATGTTTTTTTCTTTTTTTTCCCAGAAAGATGCTGAATTCAAACATCAGTCTGTCAGCGCATGTTGGTCTCCCATGCTATTCGCAGCCCATTTGGCACATCAGCTGGGGACTATCTATAAGGCGCCAGCTGCTAGCGTTTCACCTGTCCCAGCAAATGTTTGCTGACGCGGAAAAAACAAGCTGATTTCAACGGGTTGGTTTGAGGGAAATCTAGAGGACACCATGTTCTTTACCATCAAATATGAGAGGTTTCCCGTAATTTTCCTTTAAATCCATCTATATAATGATGTTTGCGGCGCAAGGAATTGATTTTCTTTTCCAATCTGGATGAATCCCAGTTTCATACAGAAGACTTGGTAAAAGTGGAGCGAGTCAGACTGGAGCATCCCTTGACAGGGCGTTGCATGTTGTTTTCCAGCTGTTTCTTGGTTGTGAGCCTCAATTTTTTGCGGTATCCCATGTCAATTTTGGGTCATGATCCACTTACTCCAATTGCTATCCAGTCATTTGATCATTCGGTTCTGTTTGGTCGATAGACCATCCCAGGAGTTCTAGTCCATCTACCTGGATGGCAAAAAGTTGGTGATTTTCCACGGAGATGGCCTAAAGTTGCTGTTCCATGCTTTAAGTTTGGGAACAACAAACTATTGATATCTATGGATTTCCTATGGATTTCCTATGGATCTCCTATGGATCTCCTATGGATTTTGTGGATCCCCTATTGGAGCTAAGGCTTGTCTCAGATGTTTCCCCGTGATCCCTAGGTCCAACCACAGCGCGCTTGCGCTCTGGGCCTCTGCGCCCTGGCAGCTGCATTGGCCGCGCGTCGAGGCGGGGATTTGATTTGTGGACATTTTTTTCACCATTTTCCCACTTTTTTCCGAGAGTTGGTGGCATTTTTTTTAACTTTTAAGGACTTTTGGGACGGAGAAGTATAATTTTTGGTGTTTGGAGCTTCGTCTCCCACCAATTCAAGAGAAAAGAAACTGATAAGTTTGGTCTTGCTGTGCCTGGGAGGGAGTGAAAAATAACTTTGCAGTGACCTTGAAAGCAAACTACCGACACGTTGGCCGGTGGTTTCCGTCCCTTCAACCTCAAAATTGGGACGATCCTGACTTTCCTACCTTTTGGTTGTGTCTCAACCACCAATCACTGGCTGCCGGTGATTCCCAAACTGCCTGGGTGGTCCATGCTGCCCATGTTGAGCCGGAGGTCGGGCGAAGAGCGCCTCTTCTAGAGTCAGGAGCTGAGGGGCTGCTGCAACAAGACATCAGTGGGTTTGAAGAGTTCTTTGAGTTTCTTTGACTTTGCAGGTCAAATCAGATAGACTTTCCATTAGGCGCCTTAGCACTGAGGTTTGGGGTCGAGAAATTCTAGATTGATCCACAGATTGATCCACAGATTATGCTTGTGGTCATGGTTAGTAGCCTGGGCACTGGGATCCATACGCTTTAGCCCCGGCAACCTCGGGGACCCTGGTGGCCAAGGTCATCATGCAGGTCAGAAAGCCCACCCGCTGGGCAAAGTGCCTCGGCTTCAACGAGAGATGCAGATCTGCACTTCAGATGCCCCCATAGCCCCATAATTCTCCCGTGAATTCTCCCATTCTTGGTGATTCTTGATGAAATTCAAAGTTTTCAGTGAGATTTGACCCTTGGAATGGATGTCATCTCCGTCACACAAGGCCTGCCGCCAAGGGCATGAAGCCTATGATCCACCGTAAGGAGACCAGGCGTCAGCCGCAGCGCAGCGAAGAACTTTGGTGAATGGCTGGTTTTCACCACGATTTTTCAGGGTTTCCTACATTTGGCCACCGAATGCCACCGCAAAGAATGGGATTCTTCTCAAAAGATGGGTCGTTTTACCAGTCAAACATATTGTTTTTTTTCCTGCACCATGGGTGGTTCTCAACAACCATCGGGACTGGGGATGCTTTGCTTTAGGCAGGGATGTGGGATTTTTGTGAAACAGCCATGCCTTTTTGATGTTTTTCAGAACGTATGGGATGTCATCAACTATCATTGGGATACAGATACAGGAGCTATTGTCAACATTGTTTGGCTTCCAAATCTGCCAGATTTTTTGGAGAGAATCCAACTGCTTTGGGGACAACTTTCTACTCTTGAACCATATCATAGCCACTTGAAAGTGGGAGATGCAGCACCATGCAGTACCTGCCTTGTACCTTCAGTCTGTTTGTGACATGAAATTATGAAATACAGTACCAGTTCATACCAGCTCCAGTTTCTATATCTACTGTCAAGGTCGTTGATGGAACAGATTTAAAGGCTTACGCCTGACAGCCGGGCGCCGGCCAAGCAACGACGTTTGGCGTATGGTGTGGGAAGATTGGGCCGAGATTCTCTGCGCAAACCCAGGGAGGGCTATGTTAAACTGAGGCAGGCACAACGCGCAGTGCTTGCCTGTATGGAAGCAGTCTGGGCCTATGTTGAGCGCAGGTTGTGCCCGTGGCCAAGTCGTTGCTTTCTGAACTGACTAAAACCTAGCTGCAAACCTTCAATTTCCTTGCTTTCCTGCACTGGCAGCTTCCAACTTGCTTGCGTCCTCAGGGAGCTAGCTTTCCTCCTGCACAGCTCCGGTCAAAGGACCCTCCCACAGGACCGAAACACCATGGCAGTGAAGGATGGATCGAGCCCGCGGCCGGCAATGCACACTGCCAAACGTTGCCTTCTGAACTGAATAAAATCTAGCTTCAAATCTTCAAGTTGACTGCCTTCCTGCACTGCCAGCTTGCAACTTGCTGCGTGTAATTGCTTCATCATCATCATCATCATCTTCTTCTTCTTGTTGATCTTCTTCTTCTTCTTCCTCCTCTTCTTCTGCTTCTTCCTTGCTTGCTTCTTGCTCGTGCAGCTTGCTCCCGCTCCTTCTTTCTTTTGCCTCTTGCTTCTTGCTTCTTCCTTCCTATAGTTTTTTATTCTTCTTCTGTTTCTTCCTTACTTGCTTCTTGCTCGTGCCGCTTGATTGCTTTGTCCTTGTCCTTTTTTGAAACTTGCTAAAAAAATCCTTTTGCATCGGCACTTTGACATTTGCTGCGTGTACGACTTGGTGCGTGTAATTGCTTCCTCTTCTTCTTCTTCTTGCTTGCTTGCTCCCTGCTCGTGCAGCTTGATTGCTTTCTCCTTTCCCTTGTTTAGACTTGCTAAACATTTTTGCTTTTGCGTCGGCACTTTGACACTTGCTGCGTGTACGACTTGCTGCGTGTAATTGCTTCTCTGACGCGCTCCCCCTGCTGTCGGCAGGGGTCGGCGGACATGGTTTGATTGCCACGGGGAGGTAGTTATTTTCTTTCAGGTTTTTGGATCGTTCTGCTGTTTCAAACAGATGGGTTGTTTTGTCAACTTTGTTTTTGCAGGGACATTTGGAAGGATGGTTTCGACGGTCCACCCCTGAGTTGTTGAGCTGATAATCTGACCAGACAGGTCAAACAGACAGATGTGCAAATTGAGAGACTGGCAGCTTGCTTCGAGTGCATGAAGTCTGCAATGCCGCGAAAGATGCTCACTGATTTTCCCAACACTAGTCCTGCAGCCATACGTTGCCGTTTGGCCTTGCCAACCACTCTGGGTGTAATGTAGAAATTGAATGGAATTGAACCCAGGTTGGATGAAGAACAAAGACAAAAACCTGGATTTCATGGAGAAGGCTGGTTAAAAAGTGCCATAACATCGCCAGGGATTGGCTAGGATTGGCTATTTGCAGTTTGCAATGCAACTCTGTGGATGGTGTTACATTTGCCGCCAAGGTCAAAAGTTGGATAGCATACATGCATTGGAGGATGGTCATACTACCATTAATGGGGAGTTATACAGGCATCTGACAAAGTCGTACCCGTTTTAGGAAAAAATCGTTGTGCCTTGGGGAAGTGTGTTTCGCAAAAGTCGTGCCTTTAGCAAGAACGCATAGGAACTCTGGAGTTTGGATATGTAACCCGTTTTCTTATGAGATCACGTAGCTGATCACTATTAGCATGCAGAATTCCAGGTTGTGGGTATGTTGATTATAGTTATAGGTAAGATGGCGTTGAGCTGGTGATTTGATGATTTTGGATGTTCATCCCAGATTATCTTGTTTTTCCCGAATGCGTAGCGAAGGGTTCCCGTTTATAGTCTGGGGATCTGGGGGCTGGACCCTTGTTCGCCTGGAGTGGCTCGTCGCGTCGTCGTCAGGTCGGCGTCGCGTCGTCGTCGCGTCGTTAATTCCGTGTCTATGGGGGAAGCTGCAAAACCTCTCCTTTTCGAAGGTTTCCAAGCAGGTTGTCATGTCAGTTTGTAGCACAAAGTGGTACTGGGAAGTGCTTTGTGCAAGCTTTGTGGTACAAAGTAGTACTGGGAAGGACTTTGTGCAAGCTTTGTAGTACAAAGTAGTACTGGGAAGTACTTCGTGCAAGCTTTGTAGTACAAAGTAGTACTGGAACGTGCTTTGTGCAAGCTTTGTAGTACAAAGTAGTACTGGGAAGGGCTTTGTGCAAGCTTTGTAGTACAAAGTAGTACTGGGAAGTACTTCGTGCAAGCTTTGTAGTACAAAGTAGTACTGGAACGTGCTTTGTGCAAGCTTTGTAGTACAAAGTAGTGCTGGGAAGTAGTTTGTGCAAACTTTGTGGTACAAAGTAGTACTGGGAAGTGCTTTGTGCAAGCTTTGTAGTACAAAGTAGTACTGGGAAGGACTTTGTGCAAACTTTGTAGTACAAAGTAGTACTGGGAAGGACTTTGTGCAAGCTTTGTAGTACAAAGTAGTACTGGGAAGTGCTTTGTGCAAGCTTTGTAGTACCAAGTAGTACTGGGAAGGACTTTGTGCAAACTTTGTAGTACAAAGTAGTACTGGGAAGGATTTTGTGCAAGCTTTGTAGTACAAAATAGTACTGGGAAGTGCTTTGTGCAAGCTTTGTAGTACAAAGTAGTACTGGGAAGGACTTTGTGCAAACTTTGTAGTACAAAGTAGTACTGGGAAGGACTTTGTGCAAACTTTGTAGTACAAAGTAGTACTGGGAACGACTTTGTGCAAGCTTTGTAGTACCAAGTAGTACTGGGAAGTACTTTGTGCAAGCTTTGTAGTACAAAATAATGATGCAGAATCCCAGCGTTGACGTGCAGGTTGCACACGAGAATGACATTATAAGAGAGTAGAAAAGCAATATTTTCACCAGTCGCGTTCCATTGTGTTTCATGTTTTTTTAATGTCTGAAATGCATGTTTACACTTTTTTTGAGGACAGCGTTCCATGCAGAAAAGCATTTAGGCATGACTTAGGCATGACTTGTTGGATACAGCTTTTACAATGGTAAATGCCATTCAAAAACACGCTAGGCATGACTTAGGCGTGACATTGTCGTTTCCCTGTACTGGCCAATGTGAGGATCCCCAGCAATTTTACGGCTAGGTTTGTGTCGATTCATGACAAATTGCTCTGCACCGAAAGGTGGTGCGTCAGCAGTTGCATGGACGTGTCCAGATGCAATTTGCGTTGCTTGGTTCAACTGTGTTGATTCGATTCGCCCTTGGGTGGATTCTCTAGCCATGTGATGGGAACATCATCAGTTTGGGTCCATATTTTGGAATGGTAAACCCTGGCTGCCATAAACCATCCCCATTCCATCAGCAATCACCTGTATGGCTGGGATGGATCGTGGGAGGGCTGAAGCATCCGTAGTCGCTAGGGAGGGGGTCTGGGTCAATACGGGGACGATTGGAACGGGGCTAAGTTTGGGTCTGAAAAGGCAGGGCAACAGTGTGAAGTGACTCATACCCGTATGAGTGGGTGTTTCTCAAACTTGGAATGCTCCAAGACCATTGGTCTCCCTATACATCGAACTTAATGGATGTTGGATGATTTTGGGTCAAGAACCCCCCATTTGTTTGAAACAAGTTGTGATGGTCGATGTCCATGATCATGATTATTGTCGATAACCTTTGCCACGGACATTGTATATTCATCACCTCTGGTAGTCTAACACAGCCTTGGGAAGTAATGGAAACCGGCCATATTCAATAGGTAAAATCATTTGCAAGTGGGTACAATAAATCAGTAAACCATGGAGCTGTCAATTTGCCAGAGGGTATTGTGTGTATTAACCACAATAAAACATGCACGGTGGTACCCCCAGTTATAACTGGGTTTTATGTCCACCCCATCAACTACTTGGATATATCTATTATAAACCCAACCGTGATGACCAACGTACTACCGCTAAAATCAGTTGCGATTCTGACCTGGAGCACCTGGGGCACCGTGGTAACCTGGGCATTGCCACAACAGCCCCAGGTCCCAACACTTTGTAGATGCCATCCCCATGCAGTCCGCCATGTCCAGCACCAAGAGAGTGCCTTGGCACCGGAGCTTTCCCCCGTGGTTTTCAGGTTCTTTTGTGGCCAAGTCATAGCGAGATTTCCCAAGTGGGGGTACCCAAGACAGGTCATCCCGGTCATGGATGATCATGACTTAGTCTAGCCATGGTGACTTGGGGAGCCCCCCTTTTACGACACCTCCATATATAGCTGTTTGAATGGGAAACTGATGATGAACCAGTGGAATGGAGGTTGTCCCCTAAATGTAACCCACATGGGCTACAACCATCAACAATGGGGACGTGGCTAATTTAAATATCAAAACGGTGTTTTTTTTCCCCTCGATATGGGATCTCCACGGTGACAATACATTCCACCTGGCCCCTGAAGCTCCAATGGCTCCGCGTCTCGGCCATCGTCCAGGAATACGCCAACAACATGAAACATGACTACGACGATCTCTTTTACGTTCGCAAGTGCGACATGGGCTGAAGTTGTGACACTGGTCCAGTGATCCATGGTTTTTTCAGCATTTTCAGACAAGAATGACTAGCGTGATTTTGGGATTGTAGGGTTACCCTCTGGTATCCTCTGGTAATATATAAAGTAGCATAAAGTAGCCATGGAAAATCGCCCATTTGAATATGAAAAAAGGTGTTTTTTTCCACAGGAAACTGTTGGATCACCCTTGGGTCATCTTGGGAAACAACACTGACAGCAGGAAACCCCCCAACAACTCACTTGTGTCAACAAATGCTTTACAGCTTTACATGTGTTTGACTTGTCTCAAGCTTGGTCTCCGGGATTAAACATGGTGGAAAAGGATTCCAGGTGCGAAGAGGAAGCGTCCAGATCAATCAGATGCATGAATTCTAACGTTGTCGCACAATAGGTTTAGAGTCTTTCCTGGGAGCTAGGAGTGTTTCCGTCATGTAGCCAACACAGGAAGAGCCATTTGCCATGTCTAGCAAACCGAGCAAACTGGGCCTACGGGGGTTGGGGCGGGGACCCCAAGCAGCTGCTCCCGCACCGGGACAGGTACCTGGAACCCGCCAAGTTCAAGAAGTTGGCCTTGGGAAACTGGGAGATGTCGGGTACCCTGAGGCGTAGATGAGCTCATCCCAGGAGTTGAGAATTGAGAGTCCGAGATTTTTGGGTGCCAGTAGGGGAACATGATCCAGGGTTCCAAGTTTTTCCCAGATTTTTTGGAACATATCCTGTCTATTGCTATCTTAATGATGCATCATGTCCAACTATATACTGGTATTACCCATGAAATTTGTTGGAGTAGCCATACATCTCCACAATGTGCATGTCCCAAGCAACATTGGCCTGTGCTGAGGCCTGAAAATGCCACCAAAGTGGTGACTTTGCAGGAACTGATAGAAGCAGGCACTTGGCACTTTCGATTGCGGCCGGCTGTCTTCCTGTGATTTGCACGAGTTGAAATTGGGGTATACTGGATGTGCAACCTATACTGTATGTCTCCTGCTTCAAGATGACTTAGAGTCATGTTTGGTGGCTTTGAGGGTCATCCATTGTTTGCTTGCAATATATATTATATATATATACATATTATAAACATATGTATGTATATATATATATAATATTATATATATAATATATATATAATAAACATGTATGTACATATATATATATATATATATATATAAACATATATATATATATAAACATATATATATATATACAATGTATATATGGTGATTTCCTAAAATGGGGGTACTCCAAATCATCAATTTTACTAGCATTTTCCATTATAAACCATCCAGCTATTGGGATACCTCTATTTTAGGAAGTGTATTTCCTGGACTTTTTAGCTGTTTAAGCTGGGAGACAAGCCTGGCCTCATATCTCGCAGGTGTCCAATACGGACACAAGTCCAATATGCCGGGAAGCCCACGAAACTGGCCATGAAATCAGCGCATCTTCTGCTGTTTAGGTGACATATAAAGACATGAAAATTGGGTAAAATGTTGTTGATCGAAAAGGTCAAACATGACCTGCCCCCCGGAGCTTTTCCCACCTGGCTCAATCAAGAGAATCAAAAGCTTAGCTTTTTCACTGTGCAACAGGTGTCTGATTCTTGGTCTCAGCCTCTCAAGGCATCCATGGCCCATTGACGGCCCCTGGCTCGTGGCTCAGGTGGAACCCTAAGATGTTGAAGTATCTGTATGCTGACAATGGCGCCGGAACCCCAGGTATAGCTCAGTCTCACCTGGTGACCTTGTGACAAAGTCGGATGGAGTGCAGTGCTCCATTGGAGAGTTGATAGATGTTTGTGCCACTAGAGTCACTAGAGATTCTATAGATGACACATGACCCTGAATCGGATCAAGATCGAGCCCAACCCAAAGTAAGATTTACAGCTACGATTTTATTTTTAACCTTGTGAGACTGACACTATCAGACACTATCTGACGCTAGCAGAATGACTCTGACTACGCAGGATGTCATACTCATGGGATGAGATGCCAAACTCATGGTATATGATCTCAATGAAATGCAGCTTCGCTGGGGTATTGGACAGAGATGCCATCTACTGTATGTGCACATCTGAATCAATCTGTTTGAATAAGAACTCTCTCTCTCTGCGTGCACGACGATACGTGTATATAAATATGAATGTATCTATCGCATATATATATGATAGATACATCTTACATATGTATAATTATGTACAATGTATAGTACTATGGATGTTTACCAATGCATACATTCCACGGAAACGTACCAATGCCATGTGGCCACGGATGGTTGGTGTTTCCACTCTAAGGGCACCCACATCTTCGACTTAGTTCAGACCGCTGCCAACTTGAACCGTGCCTGTGCTGGGCTCAGATGAACATATAACTCAAGGTCAATTATCAATGGGCTGATTGATTGAATGGGCATAAGTATTCCCATAAATGTATCAGCACATAATATTCCCATGTATAAATATTATTTCCCAGGAAGACTTACATCTTGTTTTTGATTTTATGATGTTTCATGCGTCCAGTTGTTAGTTGTTACTATTGAATTCCCTTTTGAACAATTCCGGAAAGGCAACGTCTTGGAGTCTAGTGGTCTGTCGCTGGAAGATACCAACCAGGCTACTACTGCATGGAGGCAGCTGCCAAGGGAGCAACTTTTATGATGATTGGCACCAAGGAGAGGTTTGGTTGCGAGGTTCCTACTGTTGGAATGTTACTTTGATATATAAAAATATATAATTATATATACCATATATATATAGAATCCTTGTGTTTCTCTATTTGTGTGGTTGGAACATGTTTGAAAACAGGTTTTGGCGGATGGCGATTAACCCCGTGGGTGATGAACTCCAAGTGACCCAAAATGTTCAGGGCTTGGTTCAACCACCACACACCTTCCCTGGCCAAGGGTGGCTTAGTGTGATCAGGATATATCAGGATAGTGGAGATGCAGTCAAGAAGTTTCTGATTTCTGTGGACTTACCCTCCAACCAAACGAAACTGGTGCTGGGACCATGTCCTTTTTTGGATGGGTTTTCTGGATCATTTCCACAAGGATTTCCACGTTTGATTCCTCTCGTTGCTCAACCCTGCTGTTTGGTAAGAATGGGGCACATTTGTTGGTGAATTCCTCCCGCAGTTGGGTCAAACTCCCTGGTTCGCCCACAAGAATTTTGTGTGCCATGGCCCCAGGAGCAAGCACGTGAGCAGGTGGCGAAATACGCTCAAGAAGCAGACTGTCACTACTGCGACCTTCGGCCACTGGTCCTGGGGGATGCAGGAATGCAGAAACTCAATGGGGACCGGGAATGATGGTCAGATTTACCTACATGGGTGTGTCTGAAAATGCGATGTACCCCCAGTATATGGTTCCACTCGAATTGAGAGATTGCTCATGGCTGCAGTGTGAGAAATTACTGTCTAAGTTGCATGAAGATTCATGGAAGACGTGAGGGCTTCGTGCCAGCGGCTGACAGTTGTTCAACGTGAGGTGCTTTTGTTTATTTCGCATGGAAAAGAAGTTCTCCTGTTTTTCAAGTCGTAGGGTTTGCCTGCCTTTCATCCATTTGCGTATCCCCAAAACATCCTTTCCATTTTTTTAAGACTCGCCATCCGAGAGTGTGCTCTACTGTAGTTACGTCCGAAAATCGTGGTATCTTGTGGTTCTACCATGACACCCAGATTTTTTTGTTGCCTCCCCCCTCTTCCCGAGGTTTGTGGGAGGTGTGATTAGCAACTTCCCGGTGATTCGCAAAGCGGTGGAGCTCATGGAGACCCTTCGGGTGGCCCAATGGAGGGGGAACTGGGAGGAACCGGGAGAGGTTGCCATGTCCCCATGATGTTTTAGGGCACTGGGCACTTTTTTTGGGGGAATAATGGGGTTTGGACTTTCGGGGGATATTCTTTGACAGTTTGAGGCTTTGAAAACTCCGTAGGATGGTATTTTTCGGTCCAATGTTTGAGACCCAACTGTTTTTTTTGAGGTGGATCCAAAAAATGGAAGCAGGGGCACATGATCTGTGGGTTTCAACTGTTGAGAGAGCGAGAGAGAGAGAGAGAGAGAGAAGAGTATGAAATGGTGGAGTTTTGGTGTTTTTTTTTGACAGATGGTATCAGAATTATTTGTTGTTCTGGAATGGGACTGCGCTTTCTTGTTGGCCGTTGGCCCCTGGAAGATGCCGCTTCTCTGGTTGCATGTAAATCCCCCCAACTGGAGGTTGAATACTTAAAACCGACCCAGTTTCTGGCAGAATCCATGTCCCAAATCTTGACCCATACCCAAGTCCTCCGAGCCTTGACTTGAAGACTTGGTTGCCAGGAAGAGAAGAGACAAAACGCCTGGAGCGTTCTCAGTGAGTTCAAGCGGTTCCTGAATGAGTGCCCTTCAGTTTGGGTCAAGTTTTTTCCTTTTTTGGGTGAGGGCAGTAAGATCTACATCGGGTTGAAATCATGCTATGTCATTCTATGTCCAGTTTGTGCGACAGCTGAGATGAACACAGATTTATTATTGTGTTGTTTCAAGCAGGGGTCATTCAGGAAGAGCTGGGAGTGTCTGAAAATGGGGCATACCGGCATACCCGCAAAGTAGCAATCTGAATAAGGAAAATGGTTATGAACCAGTGGATTCAGAGGCATCCTATTTGAAAAGGCTGCAAGTCTTGGACTATCAAGGCCCTGTTGCGAAACAGACTGACGTCACCTCAATCTGGCCTCATCAGAATGTTGAGGTAAATCCGACCAGTGTTCCCCATGTTTCTCCACATTCTTGGTGGCATTGCTGCGTGTTTTTCTGGCCACAACCAATTTGCGCAGCTTCAGGTGCAAGCTGAACCGCTTGGAGAAGAAGTACAATGGCATTGTCAACATGACCTCCTATCCTGACATCTGCATTTTTGTGGATGAGGTCACGAAAATGGGAACTTCTTTGTTAAGTGGAAGGTCAAGGGTCTGAAATTTAGGGATGATTCCATCAATAAAAGTCACCCACTAGATATATCGTCCGAAAATTCAAACAGATAGATGGATTGATGGATAGATAGATAGCTTTATGTATATATATATATACACATAATATTTTACATATTAATATAATATACTAAAACATAATATGATATGATATAGTATAACATGATATGATATGATATCATATCATATCATTATAGCATATAATATATCATGATATGATATGACATAATGTAATATAATATAACATAATATGTATATATTAGTATATTAGCCATAGAAATGTGTGAAGTTGGCCTCGCTATCGCCCATTTCAGGCCAAGGAGCGGCTGCCGATCTCCGAGATGACCCGCATCGGCGTGCCGTGCGTGGGTGCGCGCCATGGGGGACGGTTTCTGGGATGGCCATGAAATGAGGGGAAAAACGCGGGAAAAAGCCATGGACATCTATGGAAATCTATGGAAATCTATGGACATCTATTGAAATCTATTGAAATCTATGGACATCTATCAACATCTCAAGGGAAAAACCGGAAAAAGCAGAGTTTCCGAGATGGGACATGCATTTCTGAATCTTTAGGAAGCCTTTCAGAAGGTAACATATTTTGGGAGAATGAGTTTGGGTTTCCAATTTTCAGACACTTAAATGGATGCCCCAAATGGGTCACCAGATGCGGATGGTATGGCCACAGTTTGGCCTTGCACCAATCAATTTCTTGGACCAGTCTCTTTCTCAGGGGTTCTTATGGTAAGTGCTAAAGGCCGGGGTTAGATCAGGGTAGATGTCCAAGAGGTCCTTGCAGTGCATGATCTTGTACAGGTCCTTGTGAGAGGATCTTATGGAGATCCTAGTGACATGCTGACAGAGGCCTTTGCATGATCTTGTGCAGGTCCTTGTGAGAAGATCTTGAAGAGGTCCCCGTGAAATCCTGTACAGGTCCTTACATGATCCTGTACAGGTCCTTGTGAGAAGAACTTGTGAGATCCTGTTGAAATCCTCCTCAAGAAGATGCTCTGCATTGGTGCTGGGAGGGTTCTTCTGGGATGCTCATAGGAATTTCTTGTATGAAGATCTTCTAAGGATCCTCTATATAAAAAATCCTTCTTTGACGATCTTTTGAAATTCTCTGAGATGTCCTGGTATGAGTTTCTGGTAGGAGGCCCTGACGAGTAGACATAGCGTTGCTTCTTGTGCCAAAACAAGTTCTTCCTGCTGCAGTTACGATAATGTCTAATCTGATCTGTTACTGTTCCATAGCTACTGTTGCTTGTATCTGGTACTGACTTCCTATCCCCACACTGTTTGGGGTCTCTTGCCGGTGTTATTTTGCCCACTATTGTGGTTGTTTCAAATTTTCATCCTCAAGACCTCTTTGCTTTTGAATGGGTCTTCGAAAGCCGTGCTCCTTCCGCAAGGTATGGTGGATTCCAACAACGATCCAACCTTCATCGACATTCCAATTCCCTCCAACACCTCCAACACCAGGCACTCGGCGACACTGACATTCGTGGCAACTTTTGTAGGAAATGAAGGTGATCCAACGTTTGGGGACTGGAGGGGTTTATTGGATGAACGTAGCAGACGGAAACAAAATTGGGCAATTTAAAACAACCACTAAATTCAACCCAAAAACTTGTTAGTTTGTCCCTCTCTGCCCTCCAACATTCAAGCATGGCTGAAAAATCGGCCACTTGCAGATTCGAGTTTCCGATTCAAAGAATGGTGCTTTCCAGCTGGCCATTTGTGATCAGTGGAAAGTCTATATTCGCGTTGGCGAACCATTGGAGTTGATCATACTCTTGCCATGCTTATTGGTCAATCGCCGATGTTTATGCTGGTCAAATCCCCCATAGTTTGTTGGTCCAATTGGTGAAACAATATCTCCTTGTGTTTACTTTCAAGTTCCCGAAAGCCACATTTTTGTTGACTAAAATCTACATACGCCCCCCCCAACTTTTGCTGGTATTCAATTGCTGGTGAACTAAACATATATTTCCAATTTTTCGATGGGAGGCTAGGCTACCCCCTTTCCAAGCTCCTCCCCGTGCACAGGTCGATTGAACTCATCCTGCGAAAGCTCTCTGAGGCCATCAAGAAGGGCAAGGTGCGCGTGGGACCGTGGGGCTTCCAGTGATGGGGATGCCAGGAACAGTGGGCAGTATACATGTGATGGGTGTAGATCTGTATAATTCTGTATCTACAAAATATAAATAGACCTTAAAATAGACCAAAAGATACACATTGATGTTATAGGTATCTACAGGCACACAGTAGATTCATAGACAATGAAAAGATCCATGGGAGTCGATTGAACGAACTAGGTCTCAAGAGAAGGTTGAACTCCTGGCTGGGCACAACATGGGTCGACCTGAAAACTCCGCACTTTTCTGTTTGTTTTTTTTGCTTATCCTCCTGGAAAATCAACATAGCTATGGAAAGAACCGAATTTTGAACTAAATGGACCATGGCTTTCACAGCTATGTCATATATGTTGAATGACTGGAGGGTGCCACTGGTTTTGGTTTTCAGCAGCGGTTGCCCCGCCAGATGATGAAGACAACGCCAAGTGCTGAGGAGATTTGGGCATGGCTTGGGGCAATGACCATGGGTTACCCTCTGGCAAACATACAAAAAGCTATTGAAAATGGCTATTTATAGTGGATTTACCCATTGAAAATGGTGATTCTCCATAGTTATGTTAGTTTACCAGAGGGTATATTCTTACCACATGGGGGTTTCTTAAAATGGGGATGCCCACCATGGGTTTCAATACTTAACTGGTCTAATTTTTGGATGTTAAATGGGTCCCTCTATTTCAGGAAACCTCCATACCACCATACCATTGAAACCTCTAATGATTTGGTTTCCAAAATTGGTTCATCCCCCCTTGGTCCGTCCATTGCTATTCATTCTTATTCCATTTTTAGGTTTCCAACCCCATTTGTTTTTGGGAGAAGGATTGCAAAGAAACACAGCATGTTGATTTTGGCGTCCTCGATTTCATCCCCAACTTTGGGCTATGGAAAATGCCAAAATGCCGAGTCGTTTGTTCCCCAACAGCAACACTTTGCTATGGGGTCTTTAGCCCAGCTCCGGTGCGATCCGGTGCAGCTTCAAGACCAGGTTCCGGACAAGGTTCCGGAGGGTTCCGGTGCAGATACCTTGTGAGGTTCCGGAAGTTTTCGGTGCAGGTGCAGGTAGTGGGTGAGGTTCCGGAGGGTTACGGTGCAGATACTTGGTTAGGTTTTAGAGGGTTTTGGTGCAGGTAGTTGGTGAGGTTCCGGAAGTTTCCGGTGCAGCTACCTGATGAGGTTCCGGAGGATTCTGGTGCAGATGCTTTGTGAAATTCCAAAGGGTTCTGATGTTTCTTATGGCATAAGCACTTAATTTTTATGGCGCAAGCACTTAATTTATGGCAAAAACGCAGAGGCTTTGAAGCTGTTGGGGATAGTACCTGAGTTTATGTTTTTTTTCCCGGTCCAGTCCAGAGTTTGCCCAGGACAATGTGAAGGAATGGGATCCATGGATCTTGAGCCGAGACCGTATCCGCTACCTGCGTCGTCGTTCCAAGCGTCAGGGCTGGCAGAAGGCGAAAACTTGGGGGGGACCAAGATGGGGATGAGTCCAAAACTAGAAATCACCTGGTGAAGCCCAAAACAGCTGGGATTTCTGGATGTTTTCAAAACCCTCTATGGTATTTCAGAGGCTTTGATCCCCTGATGGAGCCAAGTTCAGCATCACAGGATCATTTACACTTTGTTGTTATATGCAACCTTGACGAGAATTGGTTGAACTTGGGATTTTACTTATCCAGCCTTGGAATTTCATGCAACCGCTCTAATGAGCCCCGAACAAAGAAAAGCAATCTTTCTGGCCTAGAGTGCTTTTCAACCTCAAGATCTACAACTGAGCTCCGGTCCTGGCAAAAGTGTCGCAGATATTCAGAAACTCCAACGAATTGCCTTGGTTCCTGTGGCATTGGAACAGTGCTTCTTTCAAGGCTTAAACGCAGTGCGTTTTGATGGTCCTATGGGGTTTAACTCTACCGTTTCCTACCTTCAATGAACAGGATTGTCAAACTCGGTGTCAACTCACCATTAGAATCATTAGAACTTTCGATGGTGCAGTTAGTCTGCAGCCATTTCTCTGCCTCAAATGGTGATTGCAAGAGATGTCCAAATCTATCAGCTGGTGTCAGATGTGGAATGGTGTGGTCTCAGTATAGCTGGTATTAGCTGGTAGCATTTCAGCAGATGTGAGGAAACTCATCTCAGAACTTATCTCGATGAGACTTGAGCAGCAAACCTACTGGTTGGTTGTTTCAGAATATACATATTATATATATAATATATATATATATATACATATTATAATATATATATATACATATACATATAATTATATATATACACAATAATATATATATATACATATTATAATATATATATATACATATACATATAATTATATATATACACAATAATATATATATATATACATATTATAATATATATATACATAATATATTATGTATATATATACATAATATATAATGTATATATATATACATAATATATAATGTATATATATATAATTATATATACGCAGATGTCATTTTGCATCCATAGTGTGGATTGTGGAGCGCAAAGTTTCAGGAGCTTCACCAGGTAGCTTAGGACGCAGCTGATGGGATGTGCTGGATCACGGCATCGCAAGGTCTTCGCCAAAGATGCAGTGATCTTTGTGCGTGACGACCACTCCTCCACAGAAGAACAGCTGAAGCTGGCTCGTGATTTGCACAAGGCACCTGGGGTGAATTTGCGGAAGTTGTGTTGCACCCAGATTGGGAAGTCTATCAGTTGGTCTATTAGTTGGTCTATGTGCATCAGATGGAACGGATCTGTTTCTAGCGGCCAATTTGACATCTCCTAACTGATTGGACGCAAGGTGAAAAACTTCAAGAGATTTGCGGCAGAAGGTTTCGAAAATCGCCCAGTCATGAATGGAGTAGAGTGAGCCTCACTCCTCTGAGGCAGCTGGGGGGACACTTTGGCTGGAGTTTGTGTCTGAGGATGTGCTGCAGAAAGTACGTGATGGCTTGAATTCCAACGCTGCAGATGATGCAGACATTTTGGAGGAAGCGCGAAGTTCCATCAGTTCCAATGGCTGGTCCCCTGAGTTCAACAAATCTCTGGTGGGCTTAATTGGCCTCTCGGCCAAGCAAAAAACATATAGTGGTGGTGATGGTGGTCACATTGACCCACACACCACCAACAGCCTGTGTATTCATGGAGTTTTTTCCCAACAGCGTTAGCTTAGGGGTCTCAGCCCAGATAAGGTTCGGTGCAGCTTCCGGTGCGGGTTCCGGCTGGTTCTGGAGGTTCCGGTGGGTCTTCCTGGTTCCAGGAAGTTCGGGGAAGGTCTGGTTTCGTTCTGGGCAATTCCAAGAAGTTGCGGTGCGGGTTCCGGGCTGGTTCTGGGAGCCAGTGCAGGGTTCCGGGCTGGTTCCGGCAGGTTCCGCAAATGCTTGACTTTTTTTATTGCAACTTCAACTGTGCATGTGAGGTGTGCTTCTCCATCTTCTCCGCTCGACGCGCACACACACACACTCACACATATACATACACACATTGCATTGATTCAAAATGAAGTTGCGCTCCTTGCCAGGGTTGCAGGGTTGCAGTTGTTTTCAATATCTTCCAACCAAAGACTGTGACTGGTAAGTTCAAAAGAAAAAGAAATGAAAGAAATGACCACCGTTAACTCTACAAGGCTTCCCTCGAACGTATAGAAACGAGCATCAGAAGATTTGGGACCACTTTCCCAATCTTTTCCTTTTGTTTTTGGGGACGCGTTATTTTTTGTAATTTTTCCCCAACAGCGTTGGCTTTGGGGTCTCAGCCCAGATAAAGGTTCGGTATAGCTTCCGCTGCGGGTTCCAGGCTGGTTCCGGGTGGTTCCGGAGGTTCTGGTGTGGTCGTTTCGGAGGTTCCGTTGTGGGTTCCGTTGTGGGTTCCGTTGTGGGTTCCGGTGTGGGTTCCGAAGGTTCCAGTTTTGCGATTCCTGGTGCAGGTTCCGGGGTGGTTCAGTTGTGGGTTCCGGGGGTCTCCGGAGGCCAGGGCTGAAACTACCACCTTTGCTGTTGGGGATATTGCCTGACTTATTCTTCCATCAATTGATGGTAGATGGGGTTAGTCAAGACCATTGGTTGTGTCTCATTGAAAATTATAGAGGATTTGATTGGATAGTTAATGATCATTTTCAATATTAACATGGCCATATTTGGGGGGTATACTATCCATTTTCAATCACACTCAAATTTAAAAGCTTGCGCCTGACAGCCGGCCGCTGGCCAGAAAAGAGGCATGTTGGTGCCATGTTGCAGCTATGTTGGGGTTGTTGCTACATTTCGTCCCTAATGCGCTCCTTTTGCTCTTGGACGGGGTCGGCAGATGTGAAAAGTTCTTTTATATAAATATTATATATATATAATATATATATAAATATTATATATATATATAGTATAATATATATAGACATGTATACATATATATCCCCACTGTAAATTATATAAGATCCCACTAAAACCAGCTTTTCAGGGTCGATTCCAGAGGTATTGCCTGGAAACATCACATCACCATTCACGCGCTCGACGATGTGCAGTGGTCCCGCGATGCCTTCACTGCGCGCTACGGCCCCTACCGGGGCGGGCTGCGCTACTTGACCAACCGCGCGGATCAGTTGGATAACGGAGAAGGAGCCACTTCGAGGTGGTGCAGCAAGATTTGTGACAAGAGATTGGTGGATTCAAGACTTCGGTGTTGCGATCATTGCTATTGTGGTTATTGTGGTTATTGTGGTTATTGTGGTTATTGTTGTGATTCATGATTCTTAGTCTTGCTGTTACTATCATTATTGTTGTTATTGTGGTGAAATCCAATAATGTTGCGGTTGGATGGCAAATCCCCTTTGTTTGCAGCAGATTTTGTTAGGTTTTTCTTGTTGAAATCCTTGTTTTAATTGGCTGAACCCCCAGTAGTGAACTCTGCGATAAGTGAGACTGGAGGCTTTCACCCTGAATCTCTTCGCCGATTCGCTTTGACATGTTGGTATCGATGGGTCTTCCAACTTCTATTTGATCACTGCAGGACCAATCGTGATCTTGGCAGGGGCCGAGCATGGCCCAGCCTTGATGAAATTCATGAAGGCTCGAATCAACGTGGACGTGAGGTACATGTACGATGATTTTCAAGCCATCAAGAGACATGCTGCCAACAAGGTCTCCGAGACACTTGACTCATTGAGACTCAGCAAAGATTTGGAAGCGGATGAAGAAACTGAGAACTTGCTACAGAGGCTGCAAAGGAGCCTTGAGAGCCTGCTTTGACCCAGTGGGGCCGAGGGGATGGGTCAAAGTTTGGGGAATTTCTCCAGGGAATCCCCTGGGAATCCCCTGTAGTTCACATCACAGCTGGGGTCTTTTTCGATGTGAATAACCATCCCAAGTATGCGAATAAGTAGGTTTTGATCCATCCCCAAAAGTTGCCAACCTTGGAAGACTCAGATCAGCACGTGATGAGGGACGTGATGATGCACCTTCTGGGTCTTTCACCGCAGCTTTGTAACACAATTGATGTCAATTGATCCCCAGGTTCTGGCGGTTCTGGCTTGTACCTGGCAAGGAGATCTCCGGCTTGATGGCTTACCTGTGACGAAGTCACACTAAGCCTTTCTGCCTGCAGTCCAAAAACATGACGTCTAGTGAAGTGGGGGAAGGTTTGAGTCAGATGTTTTGGTTGAGTTTTCGCTAGTCCCTTTTCAAGGAAGCACGCTGCAGTTCTATTGGAAGGACAGTAGATTTGGAGCGTCAGAAGTTTCTAGGATGAATCAAACCACTAAAGCCTACAAAACGGGAATGAAGGGCACCTTCAGGACATTTTTGTCTGTGGGGGGAATCTGGTTGGGTCCCTCATTTCGGTGGGGTGAAGCCTTGCTGCAGGGCATCTATGGTAGCTACGAGAAGTTTGGGTCTCAGCATCGAGTCCACCAAACTGAGAACTGGGGTGGCGGAAAACTCACAGAAATGATGCTTAAATGGCTTAAATGTTGCTGGGAAACCATGCACTAAGGTGGTAACGATCCTGAATATTTCCCAGAAATTGGTGGTGAAAACCATCCGCAAATGGGAGGTTATTGGGAATACCAGTTGATTCACCAGCTTTGGACTGCAGATGGCCTGCAAACTTTGGCGTTACGGCTTGAATCAGTGGTGATCAATTTTCTATGCTCTTTCGTGGAAATAAGGGTGAATTGGGGAACCCCCTCTTAAGTCCCAGAGCTGCATTCGTGGGTCTTGGGCATTGGACCGAGCAACTTTCTGCTCACCAAAGCCGAGTGAAGGTGATCTCCCAGAATCGTTATATTTCAAAATTTCAAAGTTTTCGGAGGAAACTCCCATGTTTGGATGGAAACACTATGCGTCACTATGGCTGTCCTGTCGATTTTCCTTTCGAACATCCGCCAATCACCTGGTGTCGCCCAGTTACAAGAAGTGCCATCCTTGGGGAAACGTCCCCACGGTGGCTCCGTTGGGATCCCCAGCCGCGCCGCTCCAGCAATGGCGAAGGGATTTTTGCCATTTGGAAAATCCCAAGAAAGAAACGATGAATTTTCCCAGTGCATGGCATTCCAAACAAGGCAATCCATTTTCAGTCACCATGGATGACACCAGCCATGTTTTGGGCAGGTTCCACGACTTCAAGTGGAACGACATCATTGCCCGGGTCCTGGGAGCATTGCACCAGGGTTGATCTGAAAAAGATCTTATAACTCGTGAAATCACATGAAATAACCCAAAAGTCGAATTGTAGACGTTGTCATTTTCCATCATTTACTGAAACACGGGGGCCAAAAAGGGGTATCATGGGGTATCCCCTCATTTCTGAGTAAAGCCACCAAGGATCCAGCACACAAGTGAGCCTGAGAGATCCATCACACGGCGCCCACAGCTGGCATGGCATAATCGGCCTAGATGGGACATGGAACAGCAAGAAGCATCTTTGCAAACGTGAATGCAAAACACAACGAAGAAAAGGAAGACTCTTGTTTGGTTCAGATGAGGCTTTCACAACAATTTTCAATGCAAAGAGAATGATCAGATGATCCGATCCTTATGCATAGCAAGTGCGCAGCAAAGGAAGACTCATGAACTTTGAACGGCCAAGAAGCTCTGAGATCATAGGCATCTGAACCTTTCTTCAGCTTGGTGGCATTTTCAATGGGTGCAGCCGTGTGGCACAAAAAATCCTCTTCGGTGGGTTTATGGCACTCACTTGATATCCTTTTTGTGGGCCTTGAAACAGGACTAATGCGGTAAAGTGTCCCCAGAACCATCCTCAACTGCCCCAGAAATCGGTGGGATTAAAACAGATTAAAATCATTCACAATTGGAGCTTTATGGAATTGGGTGAATCACATTGCTGAATAGCTGTTCAAGGATTTGGAAGGTAATGTTTCTGCAGCATGACCTGACCCGATATCACTGACGATCTTAGGATTTGGAAAGCACAGTGCTTTTCCAAAGGACGCACTTGAGTGCTGCATCCTGCGTTTTCTTGGGCTCTGAAGATTCTTTGCACGCATTAAACATCAACAGTCAGCCATCTTCAAGTGATCCCACCTAGAACAATCACGCAGCAGGCCGCAAAGGGATTAGTTGGAATTATGTGGTTCCTGTGCTTGAAATTTAAAGCTTTGAGAGCACTGCAACGTGACTAGAATCCTCGCCTGGATTCTGATCAATTCTGGAACTCTGAGACTCGTCTGAGACCGCTATGGGTAGCTTTAAAGTCTTGCTCTTCGGCCCAGCCCGAGAGGCGGCAACGCCACTTTGACGTCAGATCAAAGCTTGGAAGGGCGGGGGAATCCCAGAAACTGGGGCTGTGTCATCACCCACAGTAACTACTGGAAATTCCTGTGTTCTATGGCAACAGCATTGCAACTTGCACTGGCATTTTGGTGCAGGCGATGGGCAGTGAAGAACTCACGGTGGAGGCCTTTTTGGTTTTGGGACTGTAGCATTGAAACATCAGGAGAAGAGACTTCCGCATGTTTTCCTGAAATTCGGATGGGATGAAACCCTACATCATACCATATTTTGATGGGAACTGGAGGAACATCCATCATGCAGCTATTTTGCCAGCTGATTTAATCCGAAAAAAATCGGGCTTTGACCGCTTTGACCTGCCACCACGAACAGCAGGTGCCTACAGTTGATGGAGGCCCCAAAGTGTGCCACCTGCGGGAGGTCTGTGACGACGTGGGCGACGCGAGAGTTTGTGGCGTGGTTGGATGACGCGGCGTGCTCGGCTCATAAATAATTATATGTCGTATGTAATGTACATATCTAGTATAAACAATAATTATATATATATATATTTATATATTATATATAGAATATATATATATAGTACACGAACATAGATATGTACATACATGCTGATATGAATCATTTTTCTGACTTTTCTGGATACCCCAAATCACCCGCCACTTCATGCTCTTTTTTTAGTAGATTGGAATTTGTATTGTTGGGATGACCATCCAAAGAAGAACCCGCCACAATTTTGAGGTTCACCGGGAGATTTCATGGATCCAGGAGATGTTGAAGCAGGCGCCTGCTCTAAAGAACCTGATGGACATGAGCAAGTTCTCGGTGGATCAGGACTTCAGCGACTGGGGGTTTCGTACTGGCTGGGGGAACTTTGGGTAGGTAAATAGGTTGATGTTTAACAATTAAAAGGAGGAACACCAGGCCATGCCTGATCCCTTAAAAATAAGGTCTTTTTGTTTAAGGGACAGAAAAGACTCGGTCCTACCCTTTGCCAGGAGATGATCAACAATGAAGCAGAATCTGTCAGACACTCAGCCCTTGAGTGGTTTGGACATCTTTGGACAATCTCCTTGGGCCATGAGGACAGCGCTAGGTTTGCTAAGAAGTCGTGTTCCATGGGTGCCCTCAATGAAGACCAGTCCTAGAGGACATTCTTTCTGTTTACTCATCTGCTTTCCCAAGATGGAACCAAGCTCAGCACAGGCAGATTTCATTGTTTGTTGTGAGTTGGGATGTTGCTTCCCAATGCTAAGGCCTTGAGTGACAAGGCAGAAATTGCGCTCATCCCGCCCATCAGTGGCGGCTAGTGGCTTATTACATTGCTGGTCAGAAAAAGGTGTCAGACTTTGAAGGGTGTCGCACGTCAAGAGCTGCCGCGGGTGTACTGCTTCAGGGTGACAACTGGTGATAAACTGTGAATGAATCTGTGGTATCAAAGTACATTGCACATTTGAATCTCACGCGAACGCCAATTTTCTTGCTCAAAAGAATAGTTCAAAACATATATGGACAATTCGAAACGAAACCCACTTTTTTGGTATGAAGTTAGACTGTTGTAGGTCTAGGTGCAAAGGAAACTCAGGATCTGCAACATATTGTAGTCATAGCCCAAGAAGTCACTGCAGCTATTCGGAACTGCCGGAAACATGGCAGCTCGGTGCGCCGGGGGTGGAGCAAGTGGTGCTACCTCGAGATCATGTCACTACGCTGTTCAAAGAGGATGGCTTACTGAAATGGCACCATAGCTTTTTTTGCATGTGAATACTGGATTAATAGCTTCCCCATATTATATATATGATATTAATATGAGTCATGAATATGGCTTACTGAAATATATGGCTGCTACATAAATACATTTGCAAGCACTTTCGAAGCCTTTTTGAAGCCTCAGACCTTCAGTCTCAAGTATTGGCTATGTATCCCCAATTTGGTTGACTGTTTTTCCCATGGGTTCAACATCAGGGTTTCTGCGATCTTGGGGGCCCATTTGAAAGTTGGTAGGTCTTCGGGCGCTGGGGAGGCCGCCGAAGGGGATGGCCTGGTGCCGCCTTGATCCATACGCGAGCTAAACCCGGTTCAGAATCTGTCATTGCCATGTTGGTTTACAAGGGGGGCTTAAACTACCAGGAAAAAAATGCAGATCTTCCCCTGTAGCGCACGTCGACGTTTCGCGTAGTGTTGCGCGCAGGTCGATTTGGCTTCAAGGTAGGGAACTCAGAAGGTGGTTTCTGGTGATGCGAAGGAAGAATGAAGTGAGGCTATTTGGTGGTTCATGGTTCACCCCAGGGATAGTGGGATAGTTCACCCCATTTATAATTGGACCTTGCGCTTACTTATGTTGTAACTGGCGTTATAAACCCACTAAGGTTGCCAAGTAGAAAATCCCAGCTTGAAACAGGTGTACCTTTTTTCGGAAGCAAACCAGGCACATCGAGCTGATTCCCCCACTCAACCTAGGCTTTACAGGCAAGGCGCCGAACAAGCTGGCCTTCCGCGAT